ATTATTAAGTTTTATCATAAAGTAAACATCGGAATCATCACTGAATATACATATGTATACAATATATACAAACACTGGGAGTAAATAAACAAATGAAATTCAAGCATTTTGAGGAAATAAAAATAAAGTTGACCAGATAAAAAAATAATTTCACAAATTACGCCGAGTATACATAGATACATATTGCAGTTTTGAATAAAGAAATATATACATATGAATGTACACGTATGCATGAAGCGGATATTGTGGAAGAGTGGAAGCATGAAGTTGATGAATTCAAATTAGTCGCTCGATCTCGTTTTCAATTTACTACCAGGACATAATTAGCTTAAGAATAAACATAAACTAGCGCTGCGCGACGTGCCACACGTGCGTACAGTGTGTTGTAGACGTAGTCAGTGAAATAATATTTGAAATTATTGTAACAAAAGGAAATTCACACTGGTAATGCTGCCGATAACTGCTACCAAAGCGAAAGTAATCGATGAGGTTACTATGAAGCCTTGAATTTCTCCAGCTTTTGTATTATTTTCTTAACTGTGAATTTCACAATAGCATAAATTAGCTGCGATTCCATCAGTTCAGAGAAAATATGTGTCCATGTTCCTGCAATTATTTTCTCATTTTTCTAACAGAGATCTAATGACCGCTGTTCCGCTGACCGCTGCAGCTTGTCGCCGGAAATCAGATGAGAGTCAGCCACAGCGAGCTTAAATGAAATAATAATAACAATCGACGAACTCACGATGAATATCGAAAGCAACCCAAACTGTAACACTGTGCAGCCTGCAATACTCGTATACGAACCTACAACAGGCTGCGTGAGCTGAGGTTAATCATAGCAATAAGGCTGCGTAGCATTATGCCTACACACACTGTGTAAACTCCGAACTGCAGAAGCATCGCGCTTAATGACGACAGCTATTCGGAGTTGATTCGCGTATCAAAAGTGCAATAACGGTGGCCTTTGCATTGTGTAATCGAGCTACCGATTAGGCAAATGAGTTTACAAAGAGGTTGAGAGGATGCACAGCTCACTCATATACAAACATACTTACATAAACTATATGGAAAATCCGTATCATCGCTCTGCACGTTTGGTTGTGCGTGGTTTTTTGTATGCTGCCGACATTTGTACTGAACTTGACTTTTGGCTGACAGGTGAGTTTGGTGTGAGTTACGCGAGTTGTGAGAGAGCATTGAGGTGTATGTGAATTGAGCGCGTGAAATTGAAAGGAATTACCCCTCACATAGGAATCGCGCAATCGAATGCAAGAAATGCGATCACGAACCACTTAACCTGCCAGTGACTTCTGTTCGTACGCTCACTGTGTTGATGGTGCGCTCGTTGGAGTCACCGATGAGTGGAGGGTTGCAACATTTCTTTGTTTGATTTGCATATACAGTGAATTTGTTGTATAAAAATTGATCGATTCGTTGATTGATTTCGATCAGCGCCGTATGGTTTTACTTCCTCTGCTCCTCCTTCGTTTATTATTTTATTATCAATGGAATTAGCCTTTCAAACATACCTACATACATATATATGTACGTGGATGCACGATACAAACGTGAGCGCCATCTCGCGCTTGAACGTAAGGGGCGTTGATAAATGTGTCCGTGCGTCCGAGTGTCCGTCCTTGTTTGCTCGTAATAATAATTTGGCATTAAGAATCGTGATGATTATTTTTGAATTCGCTACCGATGTTCTTCTGCGGTTTCACACTTTGGTCAGGGGCATACTTGTGTATATTTTACCGATGCCAAGACAACAAATACACAATACGTAGGTACATTGTATGTTCATATGTATTGTACATATATACATACAAATATATACAAAGTAATGCAGTTATAGAGTCGTAATACAGGTGGTTTGCTCGTTTGCGGTGAGGTGAAGGTGCCAAGTTTGATTAGGTTGCAAGGTGATTGAATGTGAGTTCAATGAGCGATCCAGAAAATCGCCATTTCACACATTCAAACAAACTTTCAAAGTACATAAAATATAAATACATTTATTTGTGTGTGAAAATCAGGCTTGAACTTTTTTATAACAATCCGAGATGTCATAGCCATGTCAGCACTTCCACTTAAAATAGTGCTGATCACGAAATAGAGGAACTTACTTATACTCGGGGTTAGATTATATAGAGGCTACGACTATTCTTGGAGAATCGTTTGAGGTTACGTTGGGCTTTACTGGTAGATCCGAGAAAATTCACAACTCTCAGAAACTTACGGTGATGCTGCTCTGAGTGAAAGAACGAGTCGGGAGTGGTTTCAACGTTTTAAAAATGGTGATTTCGATATCGAAGACAAACGTGGTGGTGGAAGAGAATCTGCTCGGTGTGATTTACTACGAGCTCTTAAAACCGGGTGATCGCTACCGAACGCAACTGATGCGCCTTAGTCGCGCGCTTAAAGAAAAGCGGCCACAATATCAAGAGCGACATGACAAAGTCATCCTCCAACACGACAATGCTCGGCCTCAAAGTGGTCAAAAAGTACCTGGAAACGCTGAAATGGGAAGTCTTGCCCCACCCGCCGTATTCCCCAGATGTCGCCCCTTCTGACTTCCTCCTATTCCGTTCGATGGCACACGGCCTGGCAGATCAACATTTTCAATCCTTCGAAGAATTGGAAAAATGGATTGCTTCATAGATAACGTCAAAAGAGGACTGGGATCGAGCTGGGATCCGAAAATTGCCGGAAAGATAAAGTTGTCGCTAGCGAAGGACAATACTTTGAATAATATATCTGTAAGCACTTTTTTGCAATAAAGCTTTTAATTTTGGAAAAAAACGGCGGAAGCAAAGTTGTACACCTGATATGAAGAACATTGCTGATTTATTTACAAGTAATAACTTGCAGCCATATCCTTTGCTACCTCAACCTCTGTCCGTCAAACGTCGAAAACACAAAGATTACGTGTTTAACTGCCTCGGCCAGTACTAAGCGTGCTACACTCCGTTACGAGTCCCACTATAACCACTAAATGGGTCTGTTAAATCGATAGGTACGCCTTGTTCTGAAAGAACCTCCTCTGTATCTTTAATCCTTACTAACATTTTCTTACCGAACAGAGCTAAATATATATTTCCTCATACGTACCTACACTCGTACATATACATACATTGGCCTGTTCACTATTTTTATAGCAAATATTCTATTTCGGCTTGGAAGATATGCTATATATACAAATTTAATGATATCAACGATTCAGTTAAACAGTTAAGGTACTCCTGAAATGAGAATGTGGTGGCAGTGGGGTGGAGTCACGCACCCGCACACTACCCGGCTTACGTTGATGAATTAGAAATTAGAAATGTTGTAGGCATAGAATTTGAATACATATTATATATTATATTTAATACAAGGCAAAATGATTTTGGATTCCTTAAATTTACTAGAAAGCGGTGTCGACCAAATGAGACGCTAAACATTGAGAAGCAAGGTTGTTGTGGTTTTTGCACCGGTCACGGTGACGATAATACAAAGAAACTTTGCTGGCTACTTATAAAGCAATTGGTCGGCCGGTCGTAAACTATGCTGCACAGATCTGGGCGCCGGGGACGAACGAGACGAAGATGAAGAAGCTACAGGCTTGCCAGAACACCACCCTCAGGACCGCTACAGGAAACCTCCTGATGTCGCAGGAGCATCACTTGCACAGGGAAGCATCTATGCTACGAGTTAAGGAGCTTTGCTGTGCAAGCAGTTCCTATTGGGATGCTACCGCAGGGAGCACCCTAGTAGGCACCTAATAGAAGCTGAACCTCCACCTAGGCACATCAGCAAGGGAGTACTAGACTTAAAGAACACAATCCAGCAACATGTACAACAACCGCTGGACAGCACGGCGTACCGGCAAGCACTGTACGCAATTCATCAGGAGTCAGTCAGCACCTTCGAGGACTCCCTTCCAGCGAATGGCGTACTCGGAGAAAAACCACCACATATAGCAGACAACGACCTCGAGCTGCCTCGAGAGACCCGCGCGACTCTGAAAAAAAATAGGTCTGGATATTGTAGCAAGTTAAACTCCTATTTATCCAGACTAGGCCCCAGCATATCCAACGTATGCCCTGCATGTGGAGAGTCTCCGCTCGAAACTAACCACCTCTTCACATGCCCTCATCTAACCCCCCTCTCCCTCTGGTCCAACTCATCTAACCCCCCTCTCCCTCTGGTCCAACCCTGTCGAAACAGCTCGTTTCCTGGACCTATAATTAGATGACCTCGGCGACTTAGACTGATCAAACCTGTGCCTAAGCGGGGTTAGCGAACCGCTACAACAACAACATGATAATGCATTCTTAAGCTTCCGGAAGTGACGAAGATGGTGTTAGCTGTCAAATATTGAAACAAAAAAATTTAAAATATTTACGCGAAAAACAAAACAGAATGAGTTATTCCGAAGAATGTTTACCAATAAATTAATTTAGTTCAAAATAATACTAAAAATATGAGCTACGACTATTTGACTTGCTGTTCTATTTTGGATGAGTGAAGTTTGAAATTTGACTGAATTTGATTAGCGAGAATTTGGGGTTGGCTTTGCAAAAGTATCCCACCTTTATTGCATATTGTATCTAAACGATATAACCGATTTACTTAAGGTAAAATAGAGTTTATAGGCAATAAGTTAAACTTTTTTACACAATTTTTTTGTTTATATACGTGTTGTAGCTTTTCTATAATATTCTATCAAAAATTACTTACTTTTTTTTTGCAGAAATTTTTACGTTGAGGTTATTTTGTTTGGGTTTTTAGTCACAATACAAACAGCAGATGTTGGTATTTTTACACTCACATACAACTTAATTCTTAAAATTAAAAGTATGTTTTTTAAATGAATATTTATTTCACATTATAAAAGCAAATTTTCAGTTTTAATGCGTCACTTTATAATGAATTCATGCATTTAATTTCAACTGTCACAACAGAGAACGTGAATACGTTCTTTGCTTATACGTTCTTTGGTTAACACAAAACATTCGTTTCAGAACATTTCCGTAACAGTTGTTTGTGATAATTGTGAATGGTAGTTTAAAGAAGGAGAAGAGCCAAAAATAAAACGTTTGTGAAAAGCAAAGACAATAAATTACACAAAAACATTCTGCCACGGTAAATAAAATATACAAGTTGTTTGCGCAAAACGAGCTAAGAAAAATTGACGAACAATGACCACAGCTGCACGTCCAACATTCGATCCCGCACGCGGTGGAAGTGGTCGTGGCGAGAAAGATTTGAGCGCACTATCTAAACAATATTCAAGCAGAGATTTGCCTGGGCATACTAAACTCAAATACAGGTATTTTATTTCTTATTACATACAAATCTATAATTTATCTCACCAATACATTTGACATTTCATTTACAGAGAAACTGGGCAAGGAACCTCTGAAGAACTACGCAACCGCGATTTCCGTAAAGAGCTAGAAGAACGTGAACGTGAGGCACGTCCAAACAAAGCACTACCTTCGATTGTACGTAAAGCGATTGAAGCAAATAATTCGTCAAATAGTAGTGCAAGTAGTACTAAACGCGCACGTCTCGAACAGCCAGCAGCACCAGTGAATTTAGATGCTGACGATCCGATAGATAAAGACAGCTCTGAGGAAGACTCTGATTCAGAAGATGAAGATGATACTGCAGCCCTGTTGGCGGAATTAAATAAAATCAAACAGGAACGTTTGCAAGAAGAGACACGTAAAGATCAGGAAAAGAAACAAGAGGAAGAGCGTATACGTATGGAAAATATCTTATCCGGCAATCCATTGATCAATTATGCACCAGGTACTGGTGCAACCGCGAGTAAAAATATTGGTAGTGATTTGAAGGTGAAACGACGTTGGGATGATGATGTAGTGTTCAAAAATTGCGCCCGCACTGAGCCGGAGAAGAAAAGCCACTTCATCAATGACTCGCTGCGTAATGAGTTTCATAAGAAGTTTATGGATAAATATATAAAGTAACTTTTTATTCTACTTCCAAATATAAATTCTAATAATTCAAGAGTGCGTTTAAGTGAAATTTCAATGTGTACTTGTAATTAAATAATTAATTCTAATGTTATAATAAACGTATGTCTATACTTTATTAAAGGATGTGTCGTATTTTTCTATAGACTCTTGTTCTTGAAAGTAAGAATTAATATTTGTTTGGTGGAACGTTTATTATGTTTGGGTTAATAAAAGAAAACTTTATAAATTGAATTCATTGGATTTTAGTAATGATAAATAAGTTTTGGCAAAGTGCATGAAATTGTTGAAAATTACATATATTCAGAGACCACCTTGTGTTCCTAAACATTGCATCATTCTGTACTTGACTACTTGGTTTGCACGTTAGCAACTCGGCTACTTGTCAATTTGATGACATCGCAAACAAAAATATACCAACAGCTGATAGAAAACAGAGTTTTGCGCAGTTTTCCAATTATTGCAAATTCAATACTTCCATACAAATAATTTTCTAAAATTGCCAAAATGGTTAAAAAACTATTAAATATTGACTATTCAACAAATTAAGTAACGTATTACTTTTTTACGCCTGCTATAACTTGCGACATCGCTCCTACGTACAATACAAACAAAAACATCATCTGTACCCGGGTAGGAGCTCCACCACCCAACATGTAGTGGGGCCCATTAGAGAGCATAAGCTTACGTTGGCAACAAACAGAAGAGAAAAAGACTTTGAGCTGTGCAGTTCATATGACGTGATATTTGCAAATTACCGATATCGGAAATATTTAAAATAAATCAGAAAAAAAGAAATACCAAGCGAAAATAAAATTGTGAAATATTAAGCTTCAAAGCGATACAGAAGTTAGTATAAGTATACATATGTGTGTGTGTGTCGCTTAAATATGCAACTGTTGAAAAAAGTGAAAAATATTAGAAAGCAAAGTAGAAATTAAAACGCATTAACAACAAAAAGCGCAGAGCTGTTTCAAGTCGGTGATTGAACTACCTTGCTAATAATTGCATAGTTATTCACACTGATTGAACGCTGATAAAAGTGCAAGTAGCAAAAACAAAAACGCGATAAATATACGAGATTTTTATACTTGTAAAATTGATTTATGCGTATGTTTGTGTACTAATTAACAGAACAAAAGCGCTAAATTTCGTACAGCACTCGTGTATTTTATAAATAAACAAACAAAAATAATCCATAAAACTGGAGAAGTGGAAGAGAACGCGGAGCTCGACAAAGAAAATGGATCGTAATAGTAAGGCGAATGGGAGTGGAGGTGATGGTGGCACAACTGAGAAGCCATCTATTTTGGAAGGTTTGTTTAGTTACTCACAAGCTACATACATACATATATTATATTTGTAGTGTCTATTTTAAAGTATAAAGGGGTGGTGCCAGTTATTTTTGTTGCTTTTTATCTTATAATAATGCAAACAACAATTTGTGGGTGTCTGCTGAAATATTTCACCAGCGAGCATCTGTAATCTATGTTCCAATCATATTGATGAGATCCAATAATAATTACATACATCCATTGCTCTTGGTAACAAATTATCGGCAAAAAACTGTCGAGTGACTCAGAAAGTGCATTTTACGTTTCACACATTCTATGACAAGCAGACGTTGTAAAAATACGTATGTATGTTTATAATAATAATAAAATTGTAAATATGTAAGGAAAATGTGCTAGTTACCGGACGAATAACTCTATTTCAACTTCATGCTCAATTTACTGTCATAATTATAATATAATAATTATGTCAAAACATTTCATATCAATTTCGGATAATTATTTAAATCTAAAGCAACTAAGTATGTATGTATGTGTATTTTTATAAATATTATTTGGTTTTTTTGTAAAAGTCACATTTAGGAAATAAGTCGTATTTTCTAGTGAGCGGAAGTTTTTTAAATGAACAAACAATACAAATCCAGTAAGCAGACATCCATTTAAAAGTCATTTGTTTTCTTGAAAATTAATAAAATTTCTTAAAAAGAAGTAAATTTTTTTACTTACATAAAAACTAAACAGTCGATCTCTGACGACTCTGACTCTGCTACTCACGGGCTCTAAAGATTTGATCTTATTTACAATAGATGAGGGAGTAGGTGCTCATCTTCTCCTGACTCCTAAATAATTTGTAGTACCTCACATACATATCTACCGCTGCAACAGTGCAATGTTAAATGGTTCAGGTGTTTTAAAAACAAAAAGTTATTTATCTCTCACATCCCATTGTAAATGTAATATTTGTTTGATTATGTTTAAAGATCGAATTTTTTACAAAGTTATTTATTTAGTTATGCTTTTCAAGGAAACCCAATATTTCCTTTAAACGATATTGGGGAATCCTCCTAGGGATTCTGTAAATACTACCACTCTACATTCTCTTTATTATGAACTCTTTTCTCATGCCAATTTATATATTAATTATTTCAATAAGATAAAATATAATTAATAGAATAATGAAATGAAGAGCTATTTCCCGATTTAATTATAAATAAAACTAAACTCCCCACACCTGCACACTTTCTCACAGCTACACCAAGTAAATCTCGTTTTTTGATTTTCGAATCAAATTTAATAGAAGAAAAAAATTTTTTTTTGTGTTGCGGATATCCCAAATTTGGATCCGATTCGAACAAGTGTGACTGGATGAGGAAACGTGGTGGTTCCGGAATAGTAGCTTCGACCACTTAGAATGTTGCAACTTTTTCATTTTTCCATATACTCGTATAAACACATACAGTGGCTCAAAAATGAACTCGGACATACAAGCTATATGGCTTTAAACAAAAAAATGTGTAATAAAATGCAAATGGAGGTCTTTCGGTTTAACGTAAGATATTGCTTGTGGTCCATATTACCATTTATGAAACACAAATTTCCAGTACCAGCTGCGGACATACAACCCCATAGTATTACTGAGCCGCCCCCGTGTTTAACAATCGGACGTAAATTCTTTTCTAGCAACTCTTCATTCGGTTTTCTTCAAACTTACGACTGTCCATCTGACCTAAATATATTGAATTTTCTTTCATCTGCAAAAAAAAACTTGTTTCCAGAATTGAAATTATGCTTTTGTTTCGGTTAACCTCGTTTATGAATGGTTTCTTCCTTTCTGCTACTCTTCCTTTATAATTATTTGTTCGTAAGACTATACGGACACTCTCCGGATTACAATTTATATTGAGATGTTGCAAAACTTCTGTTGAGAGCTTGGGAGCGCAGATGGTTGGATTTTTTTTTATTTGCTGCACTATCCACCGCTCATCTGCAGCCTTCTTTTTTTTACGGATTTTGTTTGTTTGAATTATTTAATCACGTCACGCACAGTCGAGTGAATTCCCGAATAGTTTTTCCTATTTCAAAATGACTAATAATTAACTTCCTTACTTCAATTGAGCTTTGTCCACGCTGTCTACCCATGTTTGAACTTTTTACCTTTTTTTTCCAAAAAAAGAAACACTGAAATTTTATTTTATGCTATTACGTTTGATTATATACATATGTATTTTTAAACGAAAACAAACAAATTGTGGGATTCCCCTTTTTAAACGTTTTAAAATGCCAAGCAACTGTAATATTACCAGATGTCCGACTTCTTTTTTGGCGAAATTTCTAGCATGCCACATGTTCATATTTTTGAAGTAAGGGTATAAGAGACCTGTAAACTATTTAATTCGTTTGTTATCGGTATTTTTTTAGATCCTTATTGAATATTCTATACAAACATAAAAAACAAAAATGCTTAATATCAATTGGTTAAAAAAAAAATCTAGCTTGAAGTTGCATGTTAATAACAGTGGAATGTATGTCCGAGTTCTTTATTGAGCCACTGTATATATTTTCATACAGCTCCTATAATTAAATAATATTTTTAAATCATTACTGATTTTTAAATTTACTTTCTCTGGCCGAATAAAACTCCGGGTAGTCCTGTATAAATACCTTTCTTTCATGGAAACTATTAGCCTATAGGCGCCTTCTACTACAATCATGCATTATAATAGATAATTTCACAAGCCCCTAGGCCGCATGATAAGTGCCTACTTCAAACATTTGAAAGGCCCCCTGTGTGTCAAGGGCTCAAGAAGTTACCCGCGGTAAGGCATGCCTGTCGTAAGAGGCGACTGTTGGCGCGCAGCATTGAATTGAGCCTTTAGAAGTTAAAGTTTAAAATGTACATTAAAATGCGACCTTGTGGATGTATGTCCCGTTATTTTCCATTCGAGCCTGTCCGTTATTTTCCATTCGAGCCTGTCCGTTATTTTCCATTCGAGCCTGTCCGTTGCTTAGTTTTTTAATAAGCTTTCTTTTTCATTTGGTTCAACAACAACAACAACATTTCAAAGGCACTCGTTAACATTGCTATTGGCAAGAAATACAACAACACGTCGAGACCACTCCATGAATTTGTCACTAGAACTCGGACCACCGTTAGAAGGTACTAAGTAACAATCACCACATTTGCTAATTTTAGGCCGATCTCCTGTGCTAATTAATTTCTTAATATTTTTCCAGTAAAAGGGCGGGATCTAAAAATTTTTATGAGCCTCCCCCGAATGTCTTATGGGTAATTATAAGTAGCTTTATTTTCAACCGATCGGCTTCAGTGGCCGCCAAGACAACCTTTTCACGCGTGAAAACTGGGCCGCATTCCTGGGATTCACTGAGATGTGAATATTGTAGTAAAATCAAATCGGAATGAGTCCATTCGCCAATCGGAGCTGTGCTCATCCACTTTATGGAAGTTTCTTGGTTTGCGAGCTTACAAAATCCAGCTCGTTCGGTTAAAGGGTTAGACCCTTCACCGATCCCGATTATTCCAATAAAATTTTCTTCACCGATGAAGCTCACTTTTGGTTTAATAGTTAATAGTTAATATAAAAAATTTGTCGCATTTGAAAAAGTTACTGTTGTTAGGTGTGGTCTACGGACAGAGTGAATTCATATTTCTTCTAAAATGAAGCCGGCCATAACATTACAGACAATGGGGAACGCTATTGAGCCATGATTAATGAGTTTTTCGTGCCATCCCCTGTGGGTCAGGGGCTCAAGAATTTACCCGCGTTAAGGCATGCCTGTTGAAAGAGGCGACTAAAATCCTATACTTTCAGCAACAGTCGGATCTTTATACCGGTACCAACCGAAATTTTATCCGGCCAAAGACTGTCATTCCCGAAATATTCCTTGTAAAAGGAGAAGGTTGATTTGGCCGACCTTTGGTTTCACCAACAAGACTGCGCTAGATGCCATACGTGCAGCGAAACAATTGAATTATCGAAGGAAACTCTTATCGGCGTATTATCGCGCGTCGTGGACCTATGGCGTGGCCTACAAGATCGTGCAATTTAACAACGCTGTACTATTTTTTTGTGAGGTCGTGGGTAATCGCTTGTCTACGCAGGTAAGTCCGATACGATTGACATACCGCCCCAATCGAGGCAAAAAGTAGTTTAAAATTTGGCATACCGAGCCAGCCTCGGCGGTAAGATAATGACAATTCCATGTCTTTATAATCGAGCGTTTTAGATCTTCTTGAAGACCGTATATCCTATAAAAACACCCTTTACAAGTACATATGTATATATTGGTTTTTAGCTTCAATCCAATAAATCTTTAGACAACAGTGAAATAACCGTTAGAATTGCGTAATTAAAGAAAAACTTTTGTAAACAAAAATCGAAATTTTTCAAAATTTTGTTTATTGGGTAATTTAATTGAATTTCAGCCTTAACACGCAAATTATTGGCCGTCCAACTGCCAGCCAGCCTCCTGCCAGTTTGCCTACTTTGTGTCTGTCATTTAAATGCCGGCAGGTTGCTCGCTCGTGTATTGTGTACACATTTTCCGCTGCTTTTCCGCCGTTTTTCCGCCGCATTCATGCTCAGCTGGTGCCCATTTGTATTTTTAGCGCTGGAAAAATAGGTGGATTTTATTGATCCACTGTGCTGTGCTGTGTCGTGTCGCTATTTTATAGAGCTATAATAAGCGTGGCTTATCTTTTTCCATGGCGTTTTTGTTTTCCGCTATCCATTGTTGTTGTTGTTGTTTCTTGTGCGTACACATTCAAATGCCCAACTCTCGGCCGGTTTATCTCTAGTGTTACCTGTTGAGCTTCATTCAAATTTCTTGTGGTTTATTTATATATTTCAAATATGTATATATGTATGTACATACGTATGGGCATTTTATTGTTTGATCACATGGCTTGTATGTTGAATTTGTTGTTTGTTTAACGTTAAGTGTTGTTGGGCAATTTATGTATGCCCGACTTATCTCCCTGGAGTTTGTCTTCTTTTATCATGCGT